GTTTGTTTGTTTTTTTTTCTAATTTGCTTCTTGATAAGCAGGTAACCACCAGCTGATGAACAACGGAAAAAAAGTCCTTAGTAAGTTAAGGACCCTAAGAAAGGCCAAAAGCTACTGAAACAAGTCGCGTCTAGTGTATAAAATCACGTGCATGAGTTCTTCATTTGGTTGGATCTACTTTAGTTAGAGATAAATTACTTGTAATTTTAAATAACTTGATCCCAAATAAACAAGGGCAGGATAGCCAAATTAGAAAAAAAAGAAATTTTAATTATCAAAAAACATAGAAATATAAGTCTGTTGTTTTGCTTCAGACAATTATAAATTTTAAGATAATCTTTGTAACACTTTCTAAATTTATAAAAGTTTTAAATAATATAATTTAAAAATTAGATTTTTAACTTTATATTTTTTCTTGTATATTCATTTTAACTATATAAAAAATTGCAAAAAAAGTCTTAGAACTTATAGTTAAGTATGTTTTTATATCTACCAAATACTTATAACTATTTGAATATGTATTTATTTGTATTTTGTACTTGCAAAAGTTTAAAAAGCTCTAAAATATCTTTATTAGTTGGTAGTTTATTATTTGATATTGATGTATTTCAAAACACAATTACTTCTTTATTATTAAATATTTATCATTTTAATTATTAATACTTATTATTAATTAAAAAGAGTTTATTTGGTCAATAATATGGTTCTGTTAGTGTATATATCATATCTATTAAATAACAAGAAAATATTAATATTAAATATAGAATAGACAAATTTAAATAGAAATAGTAGATAATAAAATAGAAATAAAAAGAAAATTAAATTAGAAAAAACTTGAAATAGATTAATGAAAACAAAAAAAATATACTGTATAAGTGAAAAATAAGAAATAAATATTTCAAATCAAATATCTAAAAACTATTACCAACCTTGATAAAACTAAATACAAAAATATAAAGTATATAAGACAAACATATGCATAATATACAAAAATAAAACAGAAAATATATATCACCTTGTCAAATATAGCAAATATTAAAAAATATAGAACATTATTAAAAATGAAGCAAGTTAAGAGGATCTCAAAATACTCCAGAAAGAAAACCTTGAAGACAGACCTATAAGTAAAGAAGAAGTCAAGACTTTATTCTTTAAAAAAATAAAAATAAAAAAATATTTTATAAGAAATCTTATAATCAAAAAAAGAAAACAGACCCAAGAAGAAAAAAAAAAGTAGATTTTAAATCTAGTACAAGAAAATAACCAAAAACTGTTTCAATATTATGTTAAGCCTGATTGGTCCTTCTGAACAATATTATAAAGAAAAACAGTAGTACTGACAAAGTCAGCAGCCCCCAGCTCATAATCGAAGAGACCAAATCCTCAAGAAGTTAAGGATCTGACATGAATCAAATTGGTTGCTTAAACAGGTCACACCTGAGCTTTGATGCCAAGTAAGTCTTTATTAGTACAAGAGTATAGTATAAAAATTATGTTTAATATGAATGTAATTTTCTGGTACTTCCGATTAAAATAATAAAAGCAGGATCGCCAAAAAAAATAAATAAATAAAAAAGATGTAGCTTGTTATCAAAAAAAAATATTGTATTTGTAAATTGTATTATAACTATTATATCATGGGTAAAAAAAATTGTAATTTTAATATGCCCGTTGATTGGTTTGATTGTTTAATAATTATCTATTTTTAAAAGTGTATCACGAGCAGAAAGTTCAATTTTTTTTAAGAACATTAATATTCAAAGTAAAGTTCTCTTATTTGAGAACATTTTATTCTTTCAAATGTTCTTAAAAAACATTTAATATAATTCAATATAATGAACTAGTGCAACGAAAGGGTCATTCAGGTCGAGTTTAAGGTCGACCCAAACCCAACTCGAGTAAATTTTTTTTAATACCTATAGATTTGTATTGTACTGTATAATTCTACTGTTATAAAATTATTTCATAAATAATACAATAATTTTTTTAATCGAACTCGAGTTGGCATGAGTCTCGAGGTCAGATTTTTAATTTGGGTTACCAGAATTAACTCAACCCTTTAGGAGTACTATAATGAACATTAAAAATTTTTAAAACTTTTTGAGAACACTAATAATTTAAATTAAGCTCGTCTGAGAACATATGAATCTTAAACACTGATCACGAGGTCGCAAACAATTTATGATTGGTCGAATACCTCATAATCAAACCCGTGTATTCTCGAAGTCTTTCCTGCTGTTAGTAATTATAGCAGATTGGTATGGAGTTTAGAATAGGTACTGTCCACCCTGATGCGTTAAAACTTACATTCGCAAAATATAAATTTCAAAAAAAAAAAAAATTTTTTTACAAGTATTTCTTCTTATTGAATATATAATATTAAACATACGTACGTACGTTTAGAGCTATTATGAAATAGGAACAGACTGCACTAAGTATTCAGAAAATTTATACGTATAATGAATTAAATGTATTAAAGAGTTTAACTATATATAATAAAAAATTTAATAATAAAATAAAAATAACAAATTTAATAATAAAATAAAAATAACAAATTTTTTTATAGAGATAACAAAGAAATATGTAGCATTGGTCTAAACTAAAACCGTAATATTTGTATTTTTAAGTAATCTTATTTAAATATTTAGAGATTACAAATAATGTTTATAACAATATTTACACAAAAAAATAAATTTAATCAATCAATAAATAACGATAAGTGGTCCGATGCATTTTTAGTAAAAATAAGTGTATGTGTGTGTATTCTAAAACCTTTATTCAGACAAAGTCATACCAAACAGCTATAACATACGTACCCCTTTATTCTCTAATTACAGAAATAATGATATCGTGCACTTAAAACGAACTAAGTAAGAGGTGCTTCGCTCGGTTATTGACGTTTTAGAACACAGGTGATGGTGCGTCTATATTTTTTAGATAATGATACAAATCACGGGTATCATTAAATTCTATAGTAGCCGTTTAATGCTTTATCGGTACAGATAGCCAGCGTTAATATTACTTAACATGGAATTTTAATATATATTAGCGTTAGATGATCTTCGGTTGGGTAACAAATAAAAACAAAAGGATTTTCGCTTTAAATGTCATTTTAAGAAATTTAAAACGCCGTGCATGCTCATTAAATCACAAATGCATCTATATAAAAACGTTATCATTGGAATAAAAAAAAAATTGATTTTTCTTAAACATGTCTTTGCGTCTACCCAACGAATGTGTCCAAAATATTTTAGGACACTTAAGCGAGAGTGATCATAAAACTTTACTCTCACTTGCGTTGGTAAATAGAAATTTTTGTCAGAACGCAATCCCACTTTTATGGAAAAATCCTTTGCATTCAAGACGATCTTCAAAAAAACACTACAAAATAATTCCACTGTTACTATCGTTATTGGATGAAGATCGGAAATCGCTATTAAAATTTACCGAAAGAAAACTCATCATTCCTAATACAACAATATTTTATTACATAGCCTTTATCAAAAAACTCGATTTTATGAATCTTTTAGTACAAGTTTTTTATTGGTACAAAAAGAATTGTAAAACGGGGAAGACCGAAAAAAAAAACAAATTTAGGAAATTCCTACAGAATAGTAATGGATGGATCCGATCTTGCATTAGAGGCTCATATAGGAAGGTGACATTACTTGAAAAACAGGAAATATTAATATTTTCCGAATCAATTTTCGATTCATTGTTCAAACATCACAAATTTACGGAATTTCAGATATATCCATCTCACCCATCTACATATCTTCCACATTTTCCTCCGATAAAAATTAAAAACGGGTATTTTGTTAGTCCCCATACCCATAGAACCCACAACAATCCTATCCCATTTAACAAATTCAACGCATTTAACTTGCTGGTAAAGTATGCGTCAGGCCTCGGATGTTATTATATTGACACTTACTCAAAATATAGAGGCAAGGAACCTCTGTTGGGAAATTCTATTAGGTATTGGGTTGGAAATCAATATGATTTGATATTTGAAGGCGGTAATTTTGAATCAGGAAACAAGGACATTTTAAAGGTATTTGAGAAGATTCATGTGCAATGCTGGGACATTCAACAGGTTAAATTGATTTTAATATTTGATTCCTAGTGAATTTACTATTTTTTTCTGAGTGAATTTTTCATTTTTTTTAAAAAAAAAAACAAAAATAATGTGTTAATAAAACTTTGTGATATAGGAAAAAAAAAATGTTAATATTAATTATCAAACTATACTCACCTAAAGATTGCAAGTGTATATTTTAAAATACATAAATAATTGTGAAAAATTCTAATGTAAATATTACGTAGCAATGTCTTCAAAAATGTTAATATTAACTTCATATTAGTATCATGCATACCATTGTTTAATGGTTTCAACTCTTATATAATAAATGTTTTACTTGTTCAATAATAAATGTTTTACTTTCTTGTTCTTAATTTCATAAATTTCATATGTTATTTATTTTAAACTTAAAACTAAACCTTAGAGCGTGCCAATTGTACATGTGAAATGCAACAAATATATACTATAATAAGTTAACTGTTTTTTAATTACAATACGAAAAAATAAAATAATTATTGGTACGATAACGATAATAAAAAGTTAATAAATTAAAAAATAAGTCAAACCATTCACAATACACATTTCAGACTTATGAGGCATAGTATTTGATTAAAAACATGATTGAAACGAAAACAACAATCATTTAATATATATGCATACATATACATACGTATAATTATGTATGTTATATGTTCCTATTAATTAGTATAGAAAAAAGACCCTGTTACATAAAAGATTGCCATCAATGGTTGTCAAATGTGTACGTAATACGATGAACATACCTAGTATTAAACATAATATATATCAATCATCAAGGCATAATTTAAAAAAAAGAAATTTTTATTAATTTTTATATATTTTTGTGTTTTTTTTTATTTTTTTATTTTTTTTTATTTTTTGCTGCCAGACTTAAAGTTTATTATTCTGGCTCGCATGATTGCTTTGAGGCAAGTTTGTCTTCACTCTCTTCTTCCCGTGACGTACTAGAGAGCACGTCGGCATCGTCCGGTGGTTCCGAACGATCACATGCTTCATTATTATCGTTGAAAGATTCGGTGGCTTTAGGATCTTCGTTGGTGGTCACAGGTATTTCTGAGGGAGTTTCAGGAACTTCTTCACTGGGTTGATGTGAATCTTCATTAGTGATTTTTCTATAACGTGTTTCCTTACGGATTGGAATTTTAATTCCTTGTTTAGCGAAGGCTTTAGAAAGCGCGGTAGATTCTAATGTATTAAGCATGAATTCGGTTTTATTTATTTATCTAACATACATGCATTAACAAAGTCAGAGTAGAACAATAGCATGTTCAAGACCTAGAATAAAATTCTATTTGATTTTCGTACGTACCTGTCATACCCGGAAATTTCTTTGCAGAATAAACCTTAAAGGGTGCGCTGTACACTTCAGCTGCAACACTTCCACGAGTACTTGTGAATCCACTCAGAGATCTACTTGTT